TTACTTCTGCCAAGAAAAGAATAACTAAAAATCAGCGTCTCATTTTCAGAGGGCTCTTTGTAGCCAGATTGCTGTCTGTTTCGGTGAAAAGCTAGGTTTTAAAAGAAGACAGAGTAGGAGTTCATTTCATTAAATGTTTGATTGTCAGCTCTTTCCTGCCTCTCTTCCTCCTCCGTTTTCTGCTCTGTGTAATCTTGGGCTTGTCTGCTTTCTGGGCTAGGCTGTGTCGAGGCAGGGACTTTGTTACGGTCCCCATCACATTGTTCATATTGCTCGGCACAGTACTTTGCACATAGTGGGCATCTGAGGTATATTTTCCAAATAAATAAATAAATAAATAGGAAATGTGATGACTATGATGCCATCAGTAAAATTTGCTACAGTAGCATCAGGCATTTGTAATTGAAGAAGCTCACATAAGTTATTTAACCTCTGCCAATAATCTATATCTTGCAGGTTTGTTGCATGACATAAATGAGATCATATAGGTGTTTAATTAATATTAGTTTAATTTCAGCCAAATGATGGAAGTCAGAGCCTGCCTAACGAACTTAACTTGTTATTATTGGTGTTCATGTTTTACTTAATACCATGTAATTGTTTTGATTTGCAAAAAGTACCATATTTCTTAATTTTTTAAAAAAGTAATCCATGCTGAACTTTATAGATCAGAATAAAATGAAATAATAAAGATATGCAGTGAAACTCTGGAATATAAAACTAGATACATTATTTAAAGTTATTTTTGGTTGTCTTCTAATGGAACTGTATTTCTAAAAAATCCTGTTCCTCAAATGTATCATATCATTATAGGCAATAATTTCTCTGGACACTAAGAGTCAAGTGATCACTGCCCCCCCCCCCCCCCCACACACACACATGCCAGGGTCCCCTTACCCACCTGCCTCCCAACCTTTCTGTTATTTTTAACTTTTAACCAGCAAATAAGATCAAATATAGAAAAATGTTAACTTCTTTGGCCTTGTTGGGGAATGCTTTAGTGACATTTCCAAATATCTTAAGTTTATTCTTTAAGGGTCTCACACTTCACTTTAACCATAACAAAATTTTCTCACTCTTTACTTTTTATAGCTTTTGGGAGGAGAACTTCTATTTATTTATTTATTTTTTAAAATATATTTTATTAAAAAATATATTTTTATTGATTTCAGAGAGGAAGGGAGAGGGAGTGAGAGACAGAAACATCAGTGATGAGAATCATTGATCGGCTGCCTCCTGCATGCCCCCCCACTAGGGATTGATACCGCAACCTAGGCACGTGCCCTGACTGGGAATTGGACCATGACCTCCTAGTTCATAGATCGACCCTCAACCACTGAGCCACGACGGCTGGGCCTAATAACATTTTTTATGACCCATGTGCTTTCACTTGTTCTTTCTCCCTCTTCTATAATTCAACTATACAGAAAGTGAGGTAAAAAAGAGTTACATAAAAAGAGATGACTCCTATTTAATAAGTAATGAGTTTAGGGGAGGTTTGGGAAAGGTCTATCTATTTTGCTATTTCATATCTCTTCTGTTATTTGCTATCGGGTTAGACGAAACTCCCTTAGGGGGCTCATTCATTGCTTTTTGTTTTTTCTCCCTCTTTTACCTTAATTTTCCAGGTTGTACATTGTCATTAAGGCTTGTAAATAAATTTGCTCCAGTGAGAACATGTTCTACGATTTTGTAAATGACAGATAACTCACTGATACAAACCCGTTCTTTTCCAGTGTTCTTTAAACTAAGAGCCAATCCTATCTAATAAAAGAGTAATATGCAAATTGATCATCACTCCAACACACAAGATGGCCACCCCCATGTGGTCAAATATGGCTGGCACGGGAGGGCAGTTGGGAGGGACCAGCCCTGCAGGGGAGGGCAGTTGGGGGGTGACTGGGCCAGCAGGAGAGGGCAGTTGGGGGCAACCAGGCCTGCAGGGGAGGGCAGTTAGGGGCAATCGGGCCGGCAGGGGAGCAGTTAGGCGTCGATCAGGGTGGCAGGGGAGTGGTTAGGGGGTGATCAGGCTGGCAGGCAGAAGCGGTTAGAGGCAATCAGGCAGGCAGGCAGTCAAGTGGTGGGGAACCAGCAGTTCTGGATTGTGATAGGGATGTCTGACTGCCTGGGCATCCCTGCATAAATTTCTTGCATCGGGCCTCTAATCTATATAATAAAAGCCCAGCAACCGTTATGGCTGACTGACCAAAACAACCAGTCACTATGATGTGCACTGACCACCAGGCGGCAGATGCTCAATGCAGGAGCTGCCCCCTGGTGGTTAGTGCGCTCCCACAGTGGGAGTGCCACTCAGCCAGAAGCTGGGCTCACAGCTGGTGAGCACAGTGGCAGTGGCAGGACCCTCTTCCACCTCCACAGCAGCGCTAAAGCCAAGCAGTAAGGAGCGAGCAGGCAGGTGGTCAGAAGCAAGGGGTCCCAGATTGCAAGAGGGTGCAGGCCGGGCTGAGGGCCCCACCATCCGCAAGAATTTCATGCATTAGGCCTTTGGTAGTATTATAAATAGAAAAAATATAACTTTCCCTCTTAGCAGCTGATTTTGACATTTATTTCAGTTTAGAATTAATCATTCTTACTTCTTTGAGAAAGTATAATTGGCCACTTGTGCTTTTCAACTGGTATGACTGAAACTCTAACTATAGTACTTTATTTGAATTAAGGTCTATGTGCATATTTCTTTTACTGAATAGAACTTAAATTTATTGTACTAGATGCAAATGAGTTCTATAGCAAAAATAAAAATCTTACATCCTCAATTGTCATTTGTGAAGAGAAGAGACATCCTGATGCAGCTCTTCTGCAGTATTTTTGGCTTTTAACTGATTTGGCTAATAATTCCTTCCTACTTCTTGCATTAGGATTGCATTCCTCTGAGCACTTTGCTGTGGCTGTATACTGCTTAGGGACTAGAAATACTTAACTCCCATGGCCACACATATAACTCTTCTAGAATTTTATAGCCAGAAATGTGGATTCTAACCTGGCAGCCTGACACTAACTTAATTCTCATTTCCCTTCTGCAGTATATCTCAGTATCTCTCTATCTATCGCTATCTCTGACTTTATCTCTATCTCTGTCTATCTCTATAAATAAATATAACATATTTATATCCATTTGTATATATTCCTTTTTTGAATTTGAAGAGAAAATTATTTCTTTTGCTACTTGTCATGGATGAAGGCAACTCCCCAACTTGTCTCAAGCTATTGAGAGCTACTCGAGGGGGCGTGCAGGAGGCAGCCGATCAGTGATTCTCTCATCACTGATGTTTCTATTTGTCTCTCCCTCTTCCCTCTTCTCTCTGAAATCAATAAAAATATATTTTAAAAAATTAAAAATAAAAGACAGCTACTCTACTCAGTCTGGCATTCTAATTGGTCAGAGATCTGAGGTTCACCAGTCACATTTTTTTTTTAGCCTCTAAGATTCAAAATTATTTCTCTGAGATTCAGTAGAGAAGAAAACTAGCCATTTCCTCTGCTAGACAAACAGCACCATTCACTGAGTGTTATGGAGCTATGTTGTTAGTTTATTCATGGCCATTTTTCATGGGAAGTGATAAAATTATTAAACAGTTAAATTTTTCAGCTGGAGGGACCTCAGTTATGTCATTCATAGTTCACTTTGCACATAATGAATGGGAGTCCCATGGACATGATATAAAATGCTGAAGACCAATGGTCTAGTTAGGAGACCCAAAAGTATAGCACTTTCAGGATAAAGCAGTAAAGAAAAGTGTTAGAATATTTTTTGTGTCTTTTTGCTTTCCATGTTTCAGCTCAAAAGACCAACTGCTGGTTTGCTCTTCTGCCTGCATGGAATAAACTTAGTATTTCTGCTGTGAGACTGCCACACGTTGGAGCAGCCTTTAATCTTTCCAGAGAATTATCACTTTCAAAAACTTGATTTTTCATAATTTTGATAGTTAAAAATATTTCTGAGAATAAAATGTCCAGGCCATTACACACACACACACACACACACACACACACTTGGTTATATAGGGGTTTTACTTTTGTAGGGCCTTCTGAGAGAGTTCAGTAACTAGAAGACAGAAGATTCCTCAGAGCTGAGTGGGGCCTTTGCATTTTTGTAACTGTGTTTGCAAAAGCCAGTAAGACTAGAAGGTTCCTTTCTCACATGACCTGCCTTTACAGTGTCCCCAAGTCTTTAGTAAATTATGTTGAACTATTTCATAATTGTTCCAAATGGTCAAATATCTGCAATGTCAAATAATTCCATGTAGTTACATAGCAGAAAATTTCTGGGGTCATAAGTAAAAAAACCAAATCTTAAATAGATGATACTTAAGAGCCTTTCCATGTGATGTAGGAAATGATTAAGCATTTTGTATATGGGAAGAAGGGCAAATAAGCAAAATGGATGAGGTTATACCAAGCATTTACTTAAGTGTTTACTGGACTGACCCTTTTCTGATATGCAGAGCTTTAAGTTAGAGCATCTTTTTCCACCACACAATACATTTTAAAAAGTCACCTTATATACAGCCACTCTCTACTCTCCCTACTCATACAGTTCAGCAGGAAGAGTAGAGAGATATAACCATGTGTTTCACAGATTCAAATAGTAACACGTTTACTGTTGAGAAATTAAATATGGACCATCTAAAGATCTCCCTCTTCTAAAGTCACATACATATCCTATTTGGGTACTTCATTTCTCTTGATAACTATGCATAGGTTATGTATCAATTTTTATACATTACCGAACAAAATCATTCATGGAACAAAAGTGTGCAGAACAGTTACCATGTGCTGGGTACTGGGATATAGGATTCTATCAGACTGAATTGGTTTCTGACCTATCTCTCAACCCAAAACAATAAAGGAAAAGAAGGAATCTAAGGAGTTATTTAATTCAATGACTTGAATCACTTAATTCAGGTCAGTAAACTGAATAACAGGGTTACATATTTGTTTCAATGTTGGCATTTTAACGCATTGCCTTTTGTCTGTCTTACCTGAAGGATCTTATCGCCTGGCTGCAGCAGGTTGGATGCTGGCCCATCAGGCTGAACCCTAGTAACAAAGATACCCTATAAGTCAGAAGTAACAGAGGTTAGGATTCTATGATCAAGAACTAGGTCTACTCAAAAAACTCATTCATATAAGATACAGTGAAAAAAGATTAAAAACCGTTTATACATGTAAACTTCAAAGATTATTATAGTATTTTAAATAAGACACCACTCTCCAAGTCAACTTTAGGAAAACAACATCTTTACTTGCATAAAAAAAGTTCATTTTGTTTTTAAAGTGTACTTATGATTTATAAATTAATTTCATTGCATATTCTTAATTTCTTTCTTAGATCATTTGAAATATGGTACTGTTTTTTGTACAGCTTCTGAAATTGTCTTGAGTTATTCTGCACTGAAAATGTCTCTCATTTGATATATTGTAAATTCAATTTGCACTTTAAAAACCTTACTACAATTACATATAAGAACTAGCTTATCTTAATGAATGTTACTTTGTATGTTATTGAGATTAGTAAATATGAAATGCATATGAACAAATTAAACATAAGAAAACTTCAACATGCATATAAAATATAAAGTGTATTTTACATAGTTACAAAACTTCTATATTAATTAATTTAGTTTATAAAAGAGTCAAATTAAAATTAAAAAATCTTTATTGCTGAAAGTATTACATATGTCTCCCCTTTTCCACCATTTACCCCTTCTAGCCTGCCCCTGTTCACCACACTATTGTTTGTGTCCATGGGTTACCAAATAAAATTTTTTGATCATATATATAAAACAAAAACATTCACATGATAGGCCTTGACTGATTGTTAGTGTTATAGAGATATACAGAATATAGTCTTCAATGAGCTCACAATATAATGTAGGAAAAGTCAAGAAAACCACCAATTACAAAAGAGTAAAAGTGTTATGAGAGAAGTATAATAAATGATCAAAGATGTTGCACATAGCTTATCCTTAGTGTGTTGGGGCTTCTGAAAGGAGGACATACCTGGCAGCTGAATCATGGAGGACAAATAAAATGCATCCACAAGGATAAGGGGAGGAAGGGTATTCCAGATTGCAGGGATACCACAAAGGATAAAGTGCCTGTTACATTCAAGAAACTGCAAGTAGTTCTATTATGACTGGCATGGTGGTGGAAGGGTGCCAGGGCATGGGGTTGGGAGCCTGGGAGAGAATCAAGCTACAAAACACATTGGGGCCAGATGAAGATGGACCTTTAATAGACATGCTAATTAGTGTGGGGAGCTACTGAAGTATTTTAAGTATGATAGTGACAAGATCTGAAGAATGAACTGATGAATGGATAAACAAAAGGTGTACATCAAGCATGTCAAACTCGCGACCCACAACGAATATTTTTGTGGCCCAGCCAATATAATGGTATGTAAGAAACATTTTAATAGAAATGTCATAACTTAAATTTTACAATATCCTGTTATACATAATTATTAATAACAAACTACAATTTTTGCTAATGACTAATTACTATAATTGTGTTGCATTCATTTTCCTTACACACCTTACATGCAGGCACACCATTTTTCTCTACTAATACTAGCAGCAAATATTTTAGCAGCCGATTGCCATGTCATTAGTCTTGGACTGACTTGTTTGGTGGAAATATTTTGCTTTCAGAGAACAAGAAAATAGGTTTACTTGCATTACACTTATTAATTTGTGCAGTTATTCAGTGTCTGGTAAGTTAATGTTCAAGAAAAATATTAATTTTTATTAAAATGTTTTATTATTTTATATTAACAATTACTCATTTATTTCAGCCCTTTGTATTCAGCATGTCTCTATCGAAATAAACCCACATTTCTATGAAAATTGAAGCTTTTCTTGTTTTGCGGCCCACATAAACTTCAACCTTATTTATTTGGCTCGTGTTAGCTTTTGGGTTTGACATACTTGCTATACACCTATTCAGTGGAATATTATTTGTCAGTAGAAAGGAAGGATGTTCTGGCAATATGGATGAACCTTGGAAACATTTGCTAAGTGAAAGAAGCTGGTCACCAAAGGCCATACATATATTATATGATTCCACTTATATGAAATGTCAAGAATAGGCATATGCATAGAAAAGGAAAGCAGATTTGGGTTTTCCAAAGGCTGGGGAGCAGGGGCCTTGGGAGTGACAAGGTGTGCAGAGTTTTTATTGAGTAATAAAAAAGTTCTGAAATCAGATAGTGGTAATGGTTGTACAATTCTTTGAATATGCTAAAAACCACTTAATTGTATACTTCAAAAGGATGAATTTTGTAGCATGTGAATTAGACCTCAATATAACTGTTATTGTTTTTTTTAATTCTTAAGAACTATTAATCAAATAGAAAACAATCTTTTAATATCCTTGCCTATTATTTAGAAAATCATCTCATTTGCTGATCTGTACACCTAATGACTCTCACTTAAACCCACTGCAGTTGAGTATGTGTGTATGTAAATGGTTTAACAAACAGACCCTAATTAAAATGCTTCTACATGTGTCTTCATTTAGGATTTCAGATCTTTAGGAAACGTACTCATTTATGGACTTCGAATGATTTTTATCTTTCTGATTTTATTCTCTTTTCCTTCATATCTCTATATATAAAAGACTAAGTGACCATTACACTGGAACGACCCAAATGACCAATCGCTATGAGGTGCACTGACCACCAGGGAGCAGATACTCAAATTAGGCGCTGCCCCCAGCCCACAGGCCCCAATTGCCGATGGGGTCCCTCCCCGTGGCCAGCAGGCCCCGATCACCAGATCAGGGCCAGGCCCCCAGGCTGGGAAGAGGAACCAGGGATGGGTGGTGGTGGATGTGGGTGGTGAGGAAAGGAGGAGGCGGGGAGGCGGGGAGGCAGGGAACCTGATCGGCCCAGATCACAGGCCAGGCCTAGGGACCCCACCCGTGCACGTATTTCATACACCGGGCCTCTAGTTTAAGATGAAACTACGGATTGGCTTCAAAATCCCTAGAAAATGACATAACTTTAAATCTATTAATTCAACTTCTAGAACTTATCTTAAGGAAATAATTGAACAAATATGCAACATACATTTATGATATGTTCATCATAGTAGTATTTGTAACAATAAAATTACAAACCACACCTAAATGTCTAATAACAGGGGATTGATTAAATAAGTTATGATAAACCCATATCTACACTAATAAAAGAGAAAGATGCAAATTAACCGTCACTCCACTACACCCACAAGCCATGCCCACCAGCCAATCAGGAGCAAGTATGCAAATTAACCCAACTAAGATGGTGGCAGCCACAGAGCTGGAGCGAGTAGGAGGCTTGGTTTGGCCTTGGCAATGGAGAAAGAGAAGCTTCCCGCCTGCCCTGGGCTCCGCTCAAGGCTACAAAGTTTCAATTATAGAAGATAAATAAATCTCTTAAAAAAAGAGAGAGAAAAAGGAGAAGCTGGAAGCTTGGGTTTACCAGGGGGCTGTGGGCAGCCTGAAAATGGTCCTCAGCTCCTCACCATGGCTGGCCACACCCCCATGGATTTGAGGGTCCCCGCTAGGGGGCTTGGCCAACCAGAAAACAGCCTCAGCCCCTAACCCAGGCTGGCCAGGCACCCCAGTGGGACCCCCACCCTGATCTGGGACACACTTCAGGGCAAACCAGCCAGCCCCCACCCATGCACCAGGCCTCTATCCTATCTAATAAAAGAGAAACATGGTAATTGGCGTACGACCGCTACCCTTCCCATTGGCTGATCAGGGCAATATGCAAATTAACTGCCAGCCAAGATGGCGGCCGGCAGCCAGGCAGCTTGAAACTAACAGGAGGCTTGCTTGCTTCAGTGACGGAGGACTCCAATGTTCCCCGCCTGCCGCTGCGGCCTCTGAGCTGCAACTCTAAGCAACTATGTAACAAATATACAAGCTAAACAAAACCCCAGACACCTGTTTTAGTTCGGGCTTCAGCCAGCAGGATCGCAACATTGTAAGCAAAGGCCAGAAACCTATTTTTAGCAGCGGAGGCCTAAGAGCTGGAGCCAAGCCTCAAAGCTAAAGCTGGCCCAGAATAAAAAAAAAAAAGAAAAGAAAAAAAGGAGCGGTTGGGAGCTTCAGTCACCCCCAGCCTGAAAACAGCCCTCAGCCCCTCACCCAGACTGGCCAGGCACCCCAGTGGGGACCCCCACCCTGAAGGGTGTGTGACCAGCTGCAAACAGCCATCATCCCCTCACCCAGGCTGGCCAGGCAGCCCAGTGGGGACCCCCACCCTGATCCAGGATACCCTTCAGGGCAAACCAGCCGGCTGTCACCCGTGCACCAGGCCTCTACCCTATATAGTAAAAGGGTAATATGCCTCCCAGCACCAGGATCAGCGGAGCTTCGAGGCCTCCCGGCACTGGGATCAGCGTGACAGGGGGCAGCGCCCAAACCCCCTGATTGCCCTGTGGCTCCGTGTGTGACAGGGGGTGGGGCCACAACCTCCCTATCCACCCTGCTCTGTTCGTGATAGGGAAAGGTGCCCCAATCCCCTGATCAGCCCTTCTCTGTTCCTGATAGGGGGAGCTCCCCAACCCCATGATCGCCCTGCGGCTCTGTGTATGATAGGGTGCGGCGCCCCAACCCCCTGATCGGCCCTGCTCTGTGTGTGATGGGGTAGAGCCATAACCTCCCCATCGGCCCCGCCTTGAGTGTGAGAGTGGCGGCGCCCCAACCCCCCAATCGGCTCTGCTCTGTGCGTGACAGGGTACAGAGCCCCAACCCCCTTGATGGGCCCTGCTCTGTGAGTGACAGGGGGCAGTGCCCCAACCCCCTGACTGGCCCTGCTCTGTGCGTGACAGGAGGTGGCGCCGCAACCTCCCCATCAACCCTGCCTTGAGTGTGACAGGGGACGGTGCTCCAACCCCCCAATCGGCCATCCCCTGAGCGTGACTGAGGGTGCAATCACAACCTCCCGATCTCCCTACTCTGTGCATGACGGGGGGGGGGCGCCCCAACTCCCCAATCGGCCCTGCTCTGAGCCTGACCAGGGGCTGCACCTAGCGATTGGGCCTGCCCTCTGCCACCCGGGAGC